AATTGGAATTTTTCACACACAAGCCTTGCTATATGAGCTCTCAAAGCATATAAAAATTATACGGCTTAAATGTGAAGTTGGGTGCAAAAGAATACAATTAAATCCTCTGTCGGGAAAAAACGAAATGACTTTCCGAACAACCCGATAGTTATAAACCCAAATTAATGAATAAACCATTTCAAAATATTCGAATTTGCGCCGACTACGTCACAAATTCTCATATTTATTGCATGGATTTTTGCAGTTAATGACAAATAAAATCGTTTGTTTTCGTCAAACCATCGTGTTAAAGCTCACGTAATGCAATGCACTTTGGAGGTACTTACGATTAAATCTATTTATAAATAAAATATAATAAGGAATGATATCATGTGGTATCTCTTATCATGAGACCTCATAAAAATTGTTAATAATTCAAAAACTAAGAACGTGCAGTTCTAATCGTAATTGTATGCATATGTGCATTCATCCAAAAATGTTAGTGGAAGAAATACCTACCTTCAGAGAGATGTTATTTTAATCGGAAAAATTAAAAATAATTATTCATTGTAATTGATAAATTATTTGATGATATTCTGAAAAATGGACTTTGAACAGTCGTTATTGTCGATCACTTTGATATCGGTTCCCGACCGTTTATAAACGAATTAAGGCAAATGTTTTTTAAAGAAAGAAATACAAATTTTAATATTTTTGTTCTACCTTCTACCTAAAGATTAATTTATTTTTCATGCGATTAAACACAGCTTTGAATAGAGATACCCCAGTTTTATATAGGATAAAATGGCCAAAAACTAATTAAATAAATTCTTTAACCATGTTTGGAGTTTTTTTTTTACTTATTATTGGCATTTACAAGAAAGTGGCCCAGATCTAAAGCACCCTATAAGAATAATGTTATATACCAAAATATACCTAATTATACACAAATTGTCATTGGGGCGCAACTATAGGTACCATAACCTTTTTGGAGATTAAATAATTTCATTTAGGGACTGACCGCGGGGCGCACCTCGTCTATGCCCATTTTGACACTCACAACGGAATCAAAACTTGCAGGGTATTTTCCGTTGACTTAGAATCATGAAATTAAGCAAGAAGCAATGTAAAGGGAAAATCCGAAAACTATAAATGTGTAGTTGCATTACAAAAAAAAAAATATTTTTTAATTTTAATATTGTAATCATATGTTGTGGGGGTTGATTTTGGGGGAAACTCCGGTTTTTGTATCATTGGAGTACACATATAAATTAGGCAGTAATAAAGGACATCGCATATGTTGATATATGTATATATAGGTATACATAAATGCGACTGAAGTTATAATTTTTATATGCAATTCGTCTGAATAATGTTCAATATTCGATCGATTTTTCTCCTTCGCTTCGATTGAATCGTTTATTCGACGTTTCGCCAACAACTACGGTAGACATCCTCAGTAAACGCAGCAAAGTCGTGATGCGGTTGTATTGAAACAGTCTCGCCGAAGGAAGATAATCAATCCTATACCATGGAAAGTCTTAGCTGTGTAATGCTCAATCGATGATAGCATGTTATTTACCTAATTCCCTTCATATTCAAATCGTTGCGATCTGTATAATTAAATATTAATTGATTAATACAAGGGCTAGCTTGCTTTCATGAAGGCCGCACAAGGAATTCACGGAGGCCTCATGCGGCATACGATCTCGAGGCTACAAGTTCCCCACCACTGATGTGAATCCTAGAATTTTTTTCTTTCTAGGAGCCTAGAGCTTTGTACACATTGTGTAAATAGGAGTTTCTTGTCAGCTTTCCTTTTAGTTCACAAAATATTATCTAATTCTTTTTAATTGAACATTTTAATATGTTTGTACAGCAATTTTAGTGTACTTTGAAGTCTATATAAAGACCCACGATTGGATAATTTATCTTTTACATCGTACTGTTAATAACAGGGATTAAATAAACAACGTATATATGGCGCGTTTTAAACTTTACCCAATTATAATTGAGGAAAATAGAAACATAGACCGTTTTTTTTTTTGAAGGCGTTAGATATTCAAAAGTATGCAGATTTGCCATTTTTTAATATTAATTTTTGCAATATAAAACCTTCAACTTCGTTCACGAAGCAGGTACCTATTAAAGAGACGGACATAAAATACTGATGTGTAACACAATAAAGCAATCAACGAGCAAATTAAACTACTAATAAGTAAATAATAAGCAAGCGTGTCCTATACCACGTGTACTTCAGTCGACCAGATATATTTATGTATACGCTTGTGTGTTTTAATTTGAATTAATGTCCTTTTATTCCAACCTTCCACAACGTTTATCAATAACCTTTTGACAATTATCATAATAATCTCACAATCGCCCGGCGAACATGAGAATCATCTAAAATGTCTCCATCTTATAAAGATTCGTGTTTTGTACATGGAAAAAGACAGTCAACGAAGCAATCGTCAATATAATTGATTCGGCGTTGTACCCAATTTTAAATAGTTTTACGATTCTAATAAGAAGTATATTACTTACTAGGTACTTACGTTTCTCTGCTGTTTATTCATTGTTCAGTTGTAACCTAAATTTTCATTATGATTCCACGCACAGTTGTAATAAAATCACTCAAGTTCTTTGTTTTCGTTCACAATTAAACAAAAGAAACATTTAAGATGAAAACATGCAATTTAGTTACGAGTAGTACTAGTCATAAGGGCCGAAAAATGGTACAAATAAAGTATGGAAACACTAGGTGTGATACCACGTGACTAAAAAGTAAACATGTACTCCGCACTGTATAGTACGCTGGACTTCCGAAATGCATATTATTTGTCAGTACCTCGCACGATTGGGCATGCTTGACCGAAATAAGTACTTACTTGTAATTAAATATTTAAATATTTCTTATGAAATTATTAATTTTGAAGTATATACAATATAAACTAAGCCGATCATGTTATGAATTTAGTAAGTTTGCTCTGGCCGAAATGCGCTGTACTCAGTGGTTAAGATCTTAATTTTTCTGCACTGAGTAACTGACTAATTACTTTCAGCCAATCACGCCCAATTATAATTAATAAAAATATTTAAAACCCGTACTTGTTAAATTAATAGAATTCAGGAAAAAAAACAGTATGAACGATGGAAAACGTGGTTTTTCTAGCGCCTTCTATCGCAACTATGCAGCTTTACACTAACACTTTAATAACTCGCTAGATGACGCTTACCGTTTTCGAGTTTTTCACGGCATTTCAAATTTTGAAAACAGAAGATATTAGTTTTGATTAATTCTTTCAGAGATGCTGTATTCCGACTATCACTATCGGGTCTACATTTATTAGAAAATGTCACTTGGCCTGCGACTAAAGAAAAAATTCGATTGTGCTTAGCTAAAGGACAAACTGAAGAAAAGTGCCGCAACTATGTTAAAGTGTTGTTATCTAATGGTAAAAGGATATTTACCTGTGGAACTAATGCCTTTTCACCGATATGTACTTGGCGAGAGGTAACGACTATAATAACAATGTTTCATAATAAATTTTTTACTAGTGAAAATTGAGAAACACATTTCTTTATTATGTTTCCTTAATATATGAAATGCTTTAGATTGATAACTTATCATCGGTTATGGAATGGACAGATGGTATAGCAAGATGTCCACATAATCCTATGGCCAATACTACAACACTTATATCAGAAACAGGCGATTATTATCTAGGTGGTGCTATAGATTTTCTTGGATCCGACTCAGGCATTTGTAAAAGCAGTGGAAAACATATTATCCGTACAAAACAGTACAACAGCTTATGGCTCAATGACCCACAATTTGTAGGATCGTTTGAAAGTGGCAAATTCGTATATTTTGTTTTTAAAGAAGCTGCTGTAGAATACATCAACTGTGGAAAGGTATGACATTATATGCTAAAGGGTCAACTATTACTTATATACTCTGAAAAAAAAAAACTAAACGTTAATTTGTAGAAATTAACATTTATAGTTTTATTTATAATGTGAACTGCGAGTTTCCATCAAGTGAACTTATGATTAGATATGGTTGATCACTGTACTAATAATGTACGTTATTCTGATGTAAAATAGTTGCCTAGCACTTATTGATACATTCATTAATGCATAACAACAAAAGCGATTTTTATCTCATCCATATTTCATAAATAATTTATAATAAACTGTTAGTTGTTGTTTGACCTTAAAAGTTTAGGCATGTGAATTATTATAAAATATATGAATAAATAATGCATAACCATTCGGATAACTATTTCGCCCCCGTAGATTTTTTGATGGATACCTTAAATAATTGCAGTTTTCGCTCTCTCCTTATAAATTCTAATACATTTTTTTATTGAAAGCGGACCTTTGTTTGCTTCAGATTATTTATTCTCGAATAGCAAGAGTATGTAAAAACGACGTTGGCGGTCAGTCAATGTTAAAGGACAATTGGACAACCTTCTTAAAAGCAAGACTAAATTGCTCCTTGAACGGAGAATATCCGTTCTATTTTAATGAAATCCAAGGAATTTCCTTTGTACCAGAGGAAAATCTATTTTATGCAACATTTACAACACCAATAAATAGCATTGCTGGATCAGCCATTTGCGCTTTCAACCTTACTGCCATAAATGAGGCCTTTTCAGGGCCTTTTAAGTATCAGGAGCACGCGGGAAACGCTTGGGATAGACATTATTCAACCTATCGGGATAACTTTGATTGCAGTGCACCTACCAATACAAAATATCTCATGGAAGTTTCAAAATATCAACTTATGGATAATGCCGTTCAAGCCACTACATTAAATCCCTTGTTTGTATCTGAATTGGAACGATTTACACACATAACTGTAGACATTACAGCAACTAAATTGCATTCTTCTTTACATGTATTATATGTGGCTACTACAGAAGGTTTTGTAAAGAAGTTGTCTGTTCTCCCAAACACCCATGAAACATGTGTCGTGGAAGTTTGGCAACCCGTAGTCAAAGAAAATATTTTAAGTATTCAGTACTTAAAAGAATCTGATTCTTTGTACGCTGGAACTAATACGGGTTTATTAAAAATACCTTCAAATCACTGTAGAAGACACGTGTCTAGGGAAAGTTGTTTGAACGCTATGGATCCTTACTGTGGGTGGAATGAATTAGAAGATGCTTGCACTGGGGTACCCAATGGAGGGCCTTTAGTCAAACATTGGCATCAGAGTATTATCTCATGTCCAATCCTCAATGCTCCAGTTGACGGAGGTATGTTTTCTATTATTTAATTACTTCCCGAGCTTAATTCAATTTTGCATGTCACTTTTCAGGTTGGAGCAGTTGGTCGGCCTGGACTCCTTGTCAGTTACGAAGTTCAGAAAATGTAGAATCTCCAGATACGTGTATGTGTCAAACAAGGCAGTGTAACAACCCTGCTCCGCTAAATGGCGGATCAGAATGTGTTGGCGAATCAACTGCGGTAATTAATTGTACTGCACATGGAGGATGGACTCCTTGGTCAGCTTGGTCGGCTTGTTCTGCAACTTGTGGAATCGCGGTGAAAACTAGAAAAAGGACTTGTTCAAATCCTACTCCCGCACACGGTGGTCGTGTTTGTGTTGGTCAAGATAGAGCTGAAGTTCTGTGTGCCGAAAATCCTCCATGCCCTGTGCCAGTCTCGCAAGTAAGGGACGGCCAATGGAGTGAATGGGGAGACTGGGGACCATGTTCTGTACCATGTGGAGGAGGATTTAGAAAAAGACAAAGACGATGCGATAATCCTCTACCATCTAATGGTGGATTAGATTGTATAGGTTGCCATTTAGAATATGAAACGTGCAATATGCATTCTTGCAGCGAACAAAAGCGTCATAGTCCTTGGACTCCTTGGTTATTAGCCAATAAAAGCACCGACATTGGTGAATATGTAGAGAAACGATTTAAATTTAGCTGTCAAGCACCTGTGCAAAATCATTCTCAAATAAAAATAAGTTTGTACAAAGAGGATGAGAGAGTGTGTAGGGATGGTATGTGCGCCCTTAACAGCCTAGAAACTATGACAAAGTGGAGCGCATGGAGTCAATGGGGTGAATGTTCAGTAAAATGTGGCGAGGGAGTGCAAACAAGGCATCGTCGTTGTAGAGGAGGTCACTGTCACGGATCTTCAGTACAGACTAAACGTTGTTTTAACAATTCTTGCAAAGACGAATGGGGATGCTGGACTGACTGGTCTCCATGTAGTGTTTCATGTGGTTTAGGGATTAAGAAGCGTTCCCGAGAATGCTTGGGAAAAAATTGTGAAGGAGAGACTGTCCAAGAAAAACCTTGCGAAGAACCACCTTGTTCTTGTAAGTATAGACGACAGAGGAGTTTTGTAAAATGAAGACAAAACTTCTCTAATTATTTGTATTTAATTTCAGCTTTACTTGGATGGGATAGTTGGACAGTTTGGTCTGTTTGTGATGAAAATAATGAACAACATCGAAAAAGAAAGTGTCGTACCTCAAATCCAGGGCCCCATATGTGCAAGGGACCAGAAAAAGAAACAAGAATTTGTGTCCCAGAGTATTCATCCAATGGTAAGCAATCTTGTAATATAGTAAAGAGTAAAGATTAATTCCATTCTGTTTCATTATAAAGAGTTTACCGTTAAAGAAGCGGAACTAAAGACTGCATCATTAGGAATTGGAGGTGGTATAATAGCAGCTTATATAATAACTGGTTTTGTTGTTGGAGTGTTGACGTGTTTTCCTACAATAATATTTTACATGTACTTAAAGAAAAAGAGACATAAAGTTCCTAGTTCCCCTCATTACATTAGTGCAAAAGAAAATCCTTACATACCAGTACCACTACAAGACTTATCAACTAGAAAACAACATGGTGCATCTTCATCTCATTCAGTTTTGAACAATTCACACTGTGGGACGATCAAATCAAATAAATTATTTGATTTCGACACTGCAACAATTAAAAGAAACAGCCATGGACTTAATAATGGACACAGAAAGTCCGATAATTTTTATTACGACTAAAATGCGACTGATTAGATTTAAGGAGTTTACGTTGTGCCAGTGAAAAATAAAATCTTTCCATATTGGAAAAGATTTTTAATCAATGTACCTGTATAATTATTTGTATAAATAAATTACCTTTCTATATCGCGCTAAAAATGTAATAAGTGTTGCTGTAAGATATTAATAAATTTGTACAATCACAAATAGCAGTATACCTGTAGAAATTTTGCGTATACTTGTGATGAAAGCAGATAGAGAAATATTTATTTAATGTACAGAGTACTATACCTCACATTTAACCAAGATTCATATCGCAACTATTGCTGTATTATTATTAGAAAAAGTACTGCAATTCTCCATTCTAACAGTTTTTTAATGTTATGTATTTTTTTAATTCTATTGTCAACTCTCATGCAATAACTTATTTAATATACAAATATAAGAAAACGATTCTGTTTTAAATTAAAACCCTTCAAGGTGAAAAGCATAAGTTCAGAATTGTAATAAGATTTTTTGAAGTTAAAGACTATGTGAAATTTAAAATTTTATTTTGAATGCTTTTATTAAATAAGCAAAAATAAAATGCGAAAATTAAAATCTTCAACAGTACATACTATACATATGTATATATATTTAAATAGGCTTAATATGTAAAAGAGCCCTAAAAACTAAATATTGAATGTTATTGAGGTTTGAAATGGCAATCGTTTTACTGTATTCGGACGAATTTAAATAGGTTTACAGTAACCTATTAAATAAACAACAAATTTACATATACATTTAATAATTTATGCAGTAAGCAAAAAATAAATAAATCGGAAAATACACTGATGAGTATTTTTTTAAAGGTGAAGTGTTTTTATTGATAGAAGAGGCTCCTACCATTGCATTTCTGTATATTCAATTGTGCTTTTAATTTTCCTTTCTTGACTAGAGCTCAGCCAAATAAACAACAAACAGTTAAAAACGCTTTAGATATACAAATTACTTCTTTTTAATTTTTGGTGAAGTAGATTGAAAAACACTAGAAGCTGACATTAAATTTTCGATATACTGACCCAACACTTGATTCTCAGATTTTAATTTTAGATTTTCTTCTTTCACACTATCCACTCTCTGAGAAAGATCATCAAGTGTATTTTGCAGCTCAAGTACTTGGGCAATTAAACGTGCTTTTTCTTCCTGTTCATCAGGGCTTATATCTGCGTCTAAACTATTATGCTGAGGGCTTGAACTATCATTGGTGAATGATGACTGAATAGAGTCCATGCTTTTACCATGAATCATGTTTGATGAGTGTATTTCAGATTCTGTATTGCTGACATCTTGATCTTCGTTTATAATAACTGAAATTAACGAATTCATCACGTAAATCGTCAAAATGTATACAATAAATAAAGAGAATTAATGATATAAAATATAGCATCTATTAAGCAAGTACTTATTAATAACCAAACATTTACCAAGGGGCGAAACCATGTTTAAGATTACATTTAACACTTTTTAGTATGTATTTAAATGAGAATTACCTTGAGGATCATCGTCAGCTAAAGGAATATTGTTGATATCTTGCAATTGTGTACTTGCCATTTCAAGTATTATTATAGGGAGGTAGTCGATGTGGTTCACGAACACAGTTCACTAATAATGTTGCATGTAAGTAATACTTAATGGAAATCAAATCTTTCATGCAATCACGGTAAATAACTACAATATGAAATTTACATTAAACTGAAACAAAGAAAACATCAGAAAACATCAATAATACCTCTAATAAAACCGTCATTTTAAACTTTGCTTATCTATGGCAATCCTATGACTAAATAGGCATCTTTTGTGTAGTTGCAGATTTTTCTGGTATTTTTGGAAGAGTGCAGCACAATTAGTAGATATACTTAAAAAAATATTATACAATGTAATAAAAAGAAAACTACAGTTATATATAGCACCTTTAGTACTGAAAATGTTTAAATAACTATAAAATAATTAATATTATTCAGTAAATAGTAATTAGAGTGGTATGATTCCTGAATTTAAAATTTGCCTTACGGAAAACGATACCTAACATAGCATTTACTTTTTCAAGAACGTACTATAAGGGAAGATCATATACAAGGAATGATCATATCAATAAATAATAATAACTGAATAAGAACTATAGCGTATCTAGATGGAACCATAGTGTAAGAACCATAGGTAACTTTGCTACGCTTCTTTTTACCCTTTGTAGATCTATTATCTATGGATGAGAGATTTGACAAATAATGTCAAAAACACATTTTCACTCAAAATCATTTGTGTTTATAAAGTTTCATATTAAAAAAGATACTTAAAATTAAATAAATAAGGATATTTTCAGATATTTGCGTAGTTACATCTAAAGGTGTCCTTAATTTTTCTACAAAATGTGGACATACTAAATTGTTACTGGATTTTTATATCCTTTTTGCCGTTTCTTTGTTACTCTAAACTAATGGAAGGTGTTGATGCAATTTATTACGAAGAAGATGAAAATGCAAGCGATGAGCATGCAAGTGTTACCCTTATACCAGATCCTGTTGTTATTCGTGGAGCTGGGAACTTGACTGTGTATATGCATTACGGGACTTGGTATTTAAAATTCTTTCATAATTTTTTTTTCAGATTTGGACTAAGCAATAGGTTTAGCACCGAGTTTCCAAGTGGTTTAGTATCCCGTGTTGCTCCTGAAGAATTTAAGGAAACTGTTGTTAGAATTAACAATGTTCTTAAAAAAACCCTTCCTGTTAATGTTAAATGGCTATTTTGTGGATGCTTATGTTGTTGCTGTACCTTAGGATGTTCCTTGTGGCCTGTAATTTGTCTCAGTAAAAGGGTAGGCAAATATTGCCAATAATATTATTAAACCTTATTTTTGCTTTCATTGTTACAGACTCAGCATTCATTAAATAAATTATTAGAATGGGAAAATAGTTATTTATACCACAAATTAGGGTTACATTGGAGGCTTTCTAAACAACGTTGTGATTCATCTTCAATGATGGAATACGTAATATTAATTGAATTTTTGCCTAAACTGCCAATTTATAGACCAGACTAAGAGTAAAGGTTTCTTTGTTATTAATTTATTACTGTAATAAGTAGTTTTATTAAGACAGTAAGATTTTTTACTTATGTGATCATTGACTAGACTATTTGTTAAAAGGATAAAAATTTATTTCTTTTCAGTTAACAGTGAATTAATAATTTTTAATTAGGTAGGTAATATAACTCTTGTCAATTTTATGTATAAATTGTAAGTATATTTAGAGAAAATCAGACACATTAAATATAATGATGTGTAGCTGGTTTGTTTAAGTATTTGGTTTTCAATTTTATAACATTTATTACCTGTGACTTTTATAAAGTAAAAAATCGTAAATAAACGGTAAAACTGTATTTTTTTGTTTGAAAACATTTTTTTGGTGAAATAAAAGTAATTTAGCTTTCACTGCATAACATATCAATTACCAATAAAGCTTTAAATTGTTTATACAAAATTTACGTTTAGTACTACATAACATAATTGCTTCCAATAACAAAAACAGTCAATAATAAAAATATATTACGCACACATGTTAAAATATATACACCATACAGGCACAGCCTGTGTATCACATTGAATAAATTACAAATTACTTTATAATTATGCATACAAATTAAAAATCAAATATTTGAAGGTACTTTATCAATAAAATTTACAGGAAATTGCCCTCTTTGTCCCTCAGATTCACCAATTAACCAATCTTTGGAAATTCTACCAATTACTGTAACAACTTTACCTGGATAAAGGGGCAAGTCACCTGGTAACTGTGGGATAAATTCATAAAGAGCTGTTGCATTATTATCATTAGTTTCAATAGGCACTTGAACATCAACAAAATTGGCTGGGAACATTCCTTCTTTGTCACCTACACGGCCATAATACCATTCATCATTTACCTTTTTTAGTAAAACAATAATATCATTTACCTGTAAAGAAACCATGAGAAGAAATATTTCAACCAAGGTCATATCACCATAATAAATAATTAAATTATAAGAAAAAAAATTGAATAACATACCTCTAATTCGAGATCACCTTCATATGGGGCAGGGTAATTATATAAAGCAATAGCATATGGTGTGTTAACATCAACAGTTTCTTTAGGGGGACTTGGGGGAGGGATGTTTGGCATAGGAGGAGACTCGCTGCCAGGGAAAACTTTTCTAAAGTTATTACTTGTACTAACTTTACTTGGTTGAGCTCGAATTATAGTAGGCATTGGCATTTGTACAGTTGATTTATTAATAGTTTTTTCAGTTTGCTGGGAATATATGGGAGACTGTGAGGCACTGTAATAAATATATATTTAAGATCATATATTTATAATAGATACTGCTTCTCTACCTGTTTGACTGCAAAGACCATGTATCACATATATTATTATCCAATTCATAACTTTTTTTGCTGGATGCTAAGCTGCTTGTACTGTTACTAAATGAGCTAGAAATGCTTCCACTAAAAGCATGATTTCTGTTTGAAATAAATGTGGCTGGAGAGCGAGGTGGACTCAGGTCTATTAAAGAAACTTCTTCATAAGGCTGATTTAAATTCCAGGCAGATTTGCTCCTCATTTTACTAAAATTTGGTGGAGGTGGTCGAGGGGGCGGTTTTTTCTTTTCTCCATTTTTCTGTCTAGAATTTTCTCATAAAATTATTTCTAACATTTAAAAAATAATTAATAAACATACCTTCCCAAAAACGATTTATTATGCTGTTGTTGTGGCACTGGGGGTGGTGCTCTGGTTGGAACTCTCATGCTTTTCATTGAGTAATTTAATACGTACTAACTTAACAGCTTAAATTACAATTGTTTCATAACAAAGAGTACTTACAGTATGCCTTTTCTCTAGAACTGCAACAAAATAATGTCTTTTATGAGGAAAAAATATTTACCAATTTGATTACCTTGTAAAATTGTAAATCTTAAATAAGTAGTTAATAAGAAAATAACCATTAATTAGAAAATCACTTTATTTATTGATAACGACGTACGTGCTTGTCACCAAATGTATTTACGTACGCCTTTCCCCACTGTAGACTGTAACCATGTACTAATTGTCAATACCAAAAACAAGATAAGAGATAAGAACTGATTATGCACTTACTCCATTCATTTATAATTTATACGTATAAAAATGTAAGATGCTTAACTACCCGTAAATTAAGGAAATCCAGATAAAATATGAAACACAACACATACAAAACAAAAAATTAAGAAGAGATTTCAAGGCACAGATGACAGAAACCGTTAATAATAATATTAAGATCATTAAGATTGAATATTAAAAAATGTGTACAGAGTGTGCAAAATATTTCATAAAAAAGTTTGATAACAAAGTTCAAGAAATAAGAAAGAAAATTGAACAAGATTAATACATTTTTTATTTCATAGTATTATGATTAAATTCTCAGTTTAACCATATTAGATTTTTTATGAAGATGAATATTTTATTAGCTTAGGCATCCCGCAAGCTGAGGTGTATTGTTGTTTACACATGTATCAAATGGAATTGTAAGTACGGTTTTGAATAGGGGATCGAGGGTAACTATTAGTGCGTCGGCGTCTTCAGCGTCGCGACGCGAGACGCTGGCCCAGATCGTCGTTGCGCGTTGTTAAAGAGGGATAGGCTAAATTTTGATGATGTGAAGAAATTGTATGTTGCAAAATACATAGTAGTTTTTATTTTTATAGCAGCTCTATTTAAACCTACCTCATTTTTGCTAACAGTTTCTTCAAGAGCAAGGGGTAAGCGAAATTTAAAATTTTAAATACTAGTTAAAGTTAAGAGTAGAAGCTGGATTCGGAATCTATGTGGTTGCAGCATGGTTGTTTTGTTTTGAACGTGGTTTTAAACTTTTTTTTAGANACCATATTTCTGTGTTATGAGCATGAGGCATGAGGCATTGTTTGTGGTCCCTTTTTATGTTCTGTTCTTCCAAAGGACAATAATAATTGTAGGTAACGATGTTTGGAAATAAATTACGCTCATGGATGGAAGCAGTGAGGCCTAAAAAAAAGCAACAACGTAAAGAAAAAAATTCAAAAAATGGCTATCCAAACGCTTCTGCAGTGTATGTCACACATATCGATACTGTTTGCAATTCAAGATTTCCCGAAAATGAAAATACAGTAGTGAGTTGATCATAAAATATTTATTTATGCTTTATTTTATTGAAGGGTAGTGTTAAAAATGATTCAAGTTTTCATCATCATCATAAGGTCGCCAGTCCTGGTTGGATACGCACCTTCACTCCTTCTTATTCTGAGCTAATCCTCGCATTTCCCTAAAACTAGAACAACCCATATCCTTAACTATTTGCGAACAGTAACAGAGTATACAGAGGGCAAATAATAATGAAATTGAAGATGAATTTGAAGGGTCTGAGTAAATATGTAGGTATATATTTGATGAAACACTTCCTTTCAATATTGATGCTCTTTTCTAGTGTTTCTCGTAGAGAAGCATCAATCATTTTTGTATCATATCATCGTAAGTGTTACAAATATAGTCACATTCTTTATGAAAAGACATCGATTAATTATTGTCAGATGATAAGATGATTTAAAGAACCGAAGGATTAATTACTAGTACCAATTCACAAGTTTTTATGTTGCTTTTTTCAAAATGCAAAAGCTACATCATTTTTCAAGAAATTTCTGAGAAATGTTTCTAATGATGTTAGTACCCGAGTTGTAAACTTCAGTGAGGCTTAGATTCTGTCATGATTACTATATACGTAATGACGCCTCTGTGTGTGATTTAGCTTTCGAAATTTTAGTTTACTATTAGCTGTAGAAGAGTTATGAATGAAACAATATATATTTCTGTTTCATTTGTTAATTTAAAACAATTTCTGGCTCAATCTCAAACTGTTCTTGATTTCTTGACAAAATTCGGTTACGTGAAGGGCACAACAATGTGACCAGAATGCCGAAACTATGTTTTTTAGGGGCTAATTTGGTGATAAGATCAAAAATTAGGGATTCTAAAAAAACTATGTGCCCCGTACGGAGATTTGTATATACATATAGAACAATAAATATACATAAATGAACTGTAAGATTAAAGTTCAAATCAGGATAATCTAAACTAACCCAACCTAACCTTCAAGAGGCGCATAATATTAAAACGACAAAGAAATTTTATGGTTAGTTTAGATTGTTCTAATTTGAAATTTAATTGAATCTACAGTTCGTTTATTTATCTCTATTAACATGATACCTACATTCCTACATAAATGTTTTTTTATGGGCTCCTTGACACTAAATTGGCCCCCAAATTTGTCATTTTCGAAATTCATTTTATGTAGTTTGTTGCCTGCTTCACAGAGGTACAACATTTACGAGTGGACTGATAATGTCTTGATTTTATTTAATGATGCAGTACTATCAATGTCCAGCTAAATTAATCTATTGTTCATTAGTGCTCGGTAATAGTCTTTTGTGATCGATAGCAAATTATTCCCAATTTCCATAATTAGTATGCACTATCAACTGTAATTAAATGTTGCTTACAACAGTTTGATGAATTTATTGATTCATTCTCGCCTCTCAGAGTCGCACAGTTAACGTCGAATTATTATTTTATATTTTCGCTTGTGCCTAAATATTACACGTTTCCACGAAAAATGTCCTCAACTGTTTCAAGGCTGTAGTGCTGAAATACTCAAGGGAAATTTATCTAGCAGCAGAGGAAAGTTATCAGGGGAACAAAATAAATGTATGTTGCATCCCTGCCTGGAATATTAAGGACCCCTTCAGGACTTACAACAAATATTTAAAAACAACCCTAAAGTAAACGGAAATTAGATCTTTGCGGCCTTTTAGAGTGGCGTGAAACATTACACTCTTGAAGGATAACAGAAAAACAAACTTGTATAACATGTACGTTGTAATTTAATTTTACTTTACTAATTAATTTAGGTACATTTACAGCAAGTAGGTACATGTAGCTATTTAAAATTTATACAAAAAACAATTATCTTATTTCACAACATAAACAATGCCTTTGCTATTGTACCATTCTCAAAGAATTTTACCAGATATTGGGTAGGGGGGTGGGACAACAAAATCCCAATTTTAAAAAGCTTTACAATTTCTGTTGTTGTTTCTATTTTTTAATTTATTATCTATAATTTATGAATACCGGGCTGGTGTGATTTTTTTATATTTAAGCATTTGTTCGTATTGTATTTCATGAAGAAAAATTTAATAGTTGAAACAATTCGTAACAATCCAAAAGAATTTTTGACTTTCTAACATTGTTTCGCTAAGTGGCGAACACATCCACTAGTATGATTATAATATTCATGATAATGCTCTAGGGGTCTAGGGCAAGGTTTCCCAACCCCAAGCCCGCCCGCGAATTACTTGTAAATGTCCCGCGTGAACCAGTTTCAAAATTGTCGCCAATTTGAAACAAAAATTCAATTTTGTCACCATAAACTGTAAACTATTACGAAATTAAAATTAGGTGCTTATTACATTCGTTTGAGAGCAAATTTCGGGACTTTAAAAGTACAAAACAAAATTTACAAATTTTTGTAAATCCTTTCACGACTAGCTTGACTGAAATGGTCAGTTATCCTGCCAATATCCATTTGGAACTTAGTGAACTACGTATTTATTCTACACTAAAAAACGTTTTTTCAAAAAATATCTTAAAAGTCACCAACTTCCTCAGAAGAATTTGGAGATGATTTTTGGAAATTGTTGCCAAAGGAAGATCTATCCTTTCAATTTTTAAGTAGTTATGGATCAATACATATTTGAGAAAAGGTTTTCAAATCTTAATTTTGTAAAAAATAAATATCGCGCATCTCGAACTGAGTAATATACATTTGATTTGTTCTTACTGTCAACGTATGACCTGACGGCAAGCATAGGAAAATTGTTAAAATAGAAACAATGCCAGAAATCACACTTATTGTACCAATTATTTGGACTTATATTTTTGTTACATTAAATTCTGTTTCTCCATGTGACAGTAGTTGCTGTTTATTTTATTATTTTAATAAACGACGATTAAATTTCAAAGTGTTGATTTCTTTGTTTCACAAAAAAAGACTTTAGGTAACAAAAATAGGAAATACAGTCAATGCGTCAATAATAACCGTGCCCGCTAATGATTTTTAAATCGTCAATTTCGCCCAACTGTTAAAATATAGGGTTGTTCGGAAAGTCATTTCGTTTTTTTTTGTGGAAATGAAAGACAGTTTTCGTATAATAAACAAATACTTTATTAAATTATATATTGACCGTTCTGGTCCAACACCTTTTGCCATCTTTCTGGTAGTAGCATAATTCCACGCTCATAAAATTTTTGGTCTTTGCTGGCAAAAAACTGATCGAGGAGGTTTTTGACCTCCTCATTTGAGGTGAAGGTTTTACCGTCTAAAAAATTTTGGAGTGACCGGAACAAATAATAATCCGATGGTGCCAGGTCTGGAGAATATGGTGGGTGTAGCATTGTATCCCATTCAAGCTGTAAAAGCTTTTGGCGAGTGACCAAACTTGTGTGAGGTCTCGCGTTGTCTTGGTGAAACACTACACCTTTCCTGTTGATTAGTTCTGACCTTTTCTGTTGAAGTGCATCATTCAGTTTGTCCAGCTGATGACAGTAGACTTCCGAATTAATCGTTGTGTTATCCGGTAAAAGCTCAAAAAAAACGATTCCTTTAAAATCCCACCAAACAGACAGCATCACCTTTTTTTGGTGAATATCGGCTTTGGAAATGGTTTGAGCCGGTTCATCTTTTTTGCTCCATGACCTCTTGCGTTTGACGTTGTTGTATACAACCCATTTTTCGTCCCCAGTGATGATGCGCTTCAAAAACGGATCATTTTCGTGACGTTTGAGAAGCGAATCGCAGACGTCAATGCGGCGACACAGATTTCTCTCTGTGAGAACATGGGGAACCCATACATCGAGCTTCGAGGATAATCCCAGGCCTTTCAAGTGGTCATAAACTGTTGAATTTGATAAATTTAACCTCAATCCGATCTCACGTGTTGTTATTCGCCGGTTCACATCAACTAATGCCTTTATCGCGTCTTTATCAGCTTCAACCGGCCTTCCCGAACGTGGTGCATCTTCGACATCAAAATTGCCGGATCGAAATTTAGCGAACCAGTTCTGGCACTGGCGTACTGTCAACACACCTTCTCCATACACATCAGTCAATTTCTTTCTGGCTTGAACAGCATTTTTACCCTTTCTGTAGTAAAACAGTAAGATATGTCGAAAATGCTGCTTATCGCTCTCCATATTTAAAAGGGCACCAACCAAAAACTACTGCGTAGAATTAATTGGAATTTTTCACACACAAGCCTTGCTATATGAGCTCTCAAAGCATATAAAAATTATACGGCTTACATGTGAAGTTGGGTGCAAAAGAATACAATTAAATCCTCTGTCGGGAAAAAACGAAATGACTTTCCGAACAACCCTATAGTTGAACAAGGTGGTCCTGTTGTATGGAAGTTTCTGTGCTGAGTGCTATGGATATCCATATTTGTAATTTAATATGTACCTAATTTAAAAAAATTACATCACGTACCTAAAATGCTATGTACTGATAAGGTATTAACTGTATGTAGGTATGTACCTGACAGAGCTAAAATCCTTTGAAAACGTTATCTACGTTTGACCCAGAAATGTTCTTCGAACTATTCATGTTAGAACCAGCCCCCATTGTAGTCTGCGAATGTTAGGCTTGATATCAGACAATTGCGATGTTTCAAACCTTTCAAACACATTGTTTTATCTTAAATTAGTTTTGCAAATGCTTGTATTGCATCCCGTTCGAAAATTGAAGTAGGCTTTTGTTCAAAATTCTTGTTCAATCCCCATTATTTACACATGATAAAATATATTTGAGTTTAATGCGGCTGAAAATTATCGTCACTTAAAGCCACAGATGCGTGTTCTAGAGATACTACATAATAGTGGTGGCTTGTATCTTCAAAAATACCGTGGGAGAAGAAACACTAAGCATAGAATTAGGTACGGGGGGTGACCCAAAAGTAATGATATTCAGTTATTTCCAACCCGCATAAAAATCCAATAAAAATTTTGCATACATATACATAAATAAAAAAATCGTTCAACTAGACCACGATTCCCGAGAGATACATTCGTTTGAATACGAACTGTCGAAGACATAACATCAAAACAGAGAACAAACAGAATAGCTCAAAACCCCAACGCCAAAACACGACACTGTAGTTGTCCGAAGCACTTTTCGGTAACAAAGTTACCTTCTTCAGGGACTGAAGTAAACTAAACTATGTTCGAAGCTCTCATCAAGTTCCTGTTTTTGAAAAAACTGTCTACGAAAGACTTACATAGCGACTCTTTAGAGGGACCCGATTCATCCATATTCCATAGTTACACGCTGGGCTATGGAGTTTAAGCTGGACAGGACACCCATAAACATCGCGAAGGACGTCTATCCACGTCCCCCACCGAAGATAACGTCGAAAAGTCGAAGATGTTGTGTGGCAGATAGAAGTGAGTAACCAACAAGGATGTAGTTGAGGTCACCAGGACCTCATATGACAGCGTTTAAAGAATTCTTGGAAACGAACTGAATATGAAAAAGGTCTATTCGCGTTCCGTACCAAAGATGCTAACTGACGAACAAAAGAAAAAACGAAAGCAGATCAAGAAAAATTTTTATCACATGATCATGGACGAGACCTGATTCCACCATTTTGATTCTGAAACCAAAAAATAATCGATGACTTGGATGTGAGCCTTCTCACCGATGCCGAAGAAGTTCCTAGTCTTAAGTGTCAGCGTGAAAGGTTATAACGTCCGGTTTTTGGGACGCTGAAGGAATAATTATGGCGGAACATTTGGAATTGAGAGGCATTATTTCGGGCTGTTACTACGCAAAAGATTACGGGAGACCATTAAGGGAAAATGACGCATCAAACTTCGAACTGGAGTGCTGTTTCGCCAGGGCAATGAACCAGCTCAGAAAGCAGCAGTTGTGATGGCTGCTATTCAATAAACGGGAACGAACTGCTCCATTCGCCCTATTCGCCAGATCTAGCTCCCAGTGACTTCTCCCTCTTTCCTCGACTCAAGGAACATCTCAGAGGTAAGAAGTTGGAAGACGATAGTGTCGTGATGGCCGCTGTTGAAGCGTTTTGGGAGGGTCAAGACAATTTTTTTTTTCTAAGAGAATCGTGAGTTTAGGAAAAAGATGAACTAACTGTACTAACTTGTTAGGAGACTATGTATAAAATAAATTATTTATTTAACTATAATCACCGTTTTTATTACTTTTAAACCACCCCTTTTTCCATAATCTCTCCAATATCCTTCAGAATATGTACCAGGGAATAATGGGAATATTTCGAGTTTAGTGTAAGCTAAGCTAGGGGGAATCACATCAATAGCCGCTGCTATGTAATTAAATGTATTAAATAACGCATTCGTATATTTTACAAGAAGTGGAAGATTCGTTTTGTTAATACTTAATTCATTTATTAAAAAAAGGTGATGATCTATTTAAGAAATATATGTACGTTATAGATATTTGTCTATTATGATTTGTAGAATTTCCACACTTTTTTATTTGAAATTGTACAAATCAACGTTAAAATCAAAACGTTTACAGATTTTTTGAAATCTACACACTTATTTAATTATTTTAGCCCAATTCAGTAACTATTTTTAATAGTGCTAAAAATAAATCATCTTCCTTGATAACAAATAATCCAAAGAATTTTCTAAAATTTACTTTTAGTACAAAGTATTGCTTTATTTGTGACATTAAATAATTTAAGCAGTATTATCTATTTTATTAGGGCCGTTTTGTAATCCATTATTATCAATTACGGAGTTTGCATTTTACGCTTCGCATTTAAAACAGAACGAAAAAGGAAAGCAAAAGTTGAAGGGACCTAACTCAGGGGTTATTAATTCTCTCGTGCAAGTGTTTCACGAGATTAAAGTTAAATGCAGCTTTTCCTTTTCATGATAATTTGAAGGGCGTAGGGGCTTAAAATCACCTTCGCATGCGTTTAATTGCAGCCGTTGTTTAATTAAAAAGGAATTACACGTACTGCAATCGTTATGGATAATAAAACCTTTAAGAACCTTTCAGCATACAAAAAGTGCTTCTACAATTTTAAATTACCATATTTCTGTGTTATGAGCATGAGGCATGAGGCATTGTTTGTGGTCCCTTTTTATGTTCTGTTCTTCCAAAGGACAATAATAATTGTAGGTAACGATGTTTGGAAATAAATTACGCTCATGGATGGAAGCAGTGAGGCCTAAAAAAAAGCAACAACGTAAAGAAAAAAATTCAAAAAATGGCTATCCAAACGCTTCTGCAGTGTATGTCACACATATCGATACTGTTTGCAATTCAAGATTTCCCGAAAATGAAAATACAGTAGTGAGTTGATCATAAAATATTTATTTATGCTTTATTTTATTGAAGGGTAGTGTTAAAAATGATTCAAGTTTTCATCATCATCATAAGGTCGCCAGTCCTGGTTGGATACGCACCTTCACTCCTTCTTATTCTGAGCTAATCCTCGCATTTCCCTAAAACTAGAACAACCCATATCCTTAACTATTTGCGAACAGTAACAGCTTTAAATAAAATGGAAGCGGTATTGACAAAACAGTATTGTATGAAAATAAATAAAAGTAAAACAAAAATACTGGTTTGCAAGCGAAGAAAAAATAGGGAAAGAGCGAATATAAAAATAGGAGACGAAAAATTAGAAGAAGTGACTGATTTTAAGTATATAGGAAGTCAGATAAACCACGACGGAAGGAGTAGTAGCGATTTAAAGCAGAGGATAGCGCAGGGTCGAGGCGCCTTCAATAAAAAGAAGTCACTTCTATACTCGCGAGCGGTTAATTTAGAAATTCGAAAACGGTTGTTAAAGATGTACGGTTGGAGTGGGGCGCTGTACAGGTGCGAAACATGGACGGTGAATGCGGCGGAAAAGAAAAGGTTAGAATCGTTCGAAAGGTCGTGTCACAGGCGAATGATGAGAATACCGTGGATAGAAAAGGTTAGAAATGAAGAGGTATTAGAAAGAATAGGAGAACAGAGGACTCTATGGAAGCTAATAAGAAATAGTCGACTTAGGTTGGTAGGACACCTTCTGAGGCATAAAGGTCTAGTCAAAGACATATTAGATTAGATTAGATTAGATTACTGTTCACAAATAGTTAGGCATGTGGGATGTTCTAGTTTTAGGGAAATGCGAAGATTAGCTCAGGATAGGAAGAAGTTGAGGTGCGTGTCCAATCAGTCTTAGGACTGACGACCTTATGATGATGAGTTAAAATTATGATTCAGGCTGAAAGGTCGTTGTCTAAATAAACTGTTAGGTCTAGACGTTTCGTCAGTAATTGCATTGATAACGTGGGCGCTAAATATTTCAACCAAAGTTCCTTTGCTCCGGTCCTGACCTATTTACAAATATTTTACATTAATTTTACAACACAATGTTAAATGGGACAAGATGTTAAATATACTTAAAAATGTAAGGATGAGTTACAAGGATAGAAAAGTGATCCTTAGTTTGTATAAACAGCAACAGGCAGTTTTAGAGCTGGGCTGCAACGTAGAGAAGTAGATATTAATAAAGGAGTCAGACAAGGATGCACACTGCCACCGCTACTTTTTAATCTATACATCGAAGACGCGATCAACATCATTAAAGACAGTACAACTGTAGGGATACATGTACAGGGGTAAAAGATTAGTATGCTTAGATTTGCAGATGATATAGCAGTATTAACATCTAGCAAAGAAGAGTTAGAGATAACTTTAAATAAAATAGAAGCGGTATTGACAAAACAGTGTTGTATACAAATAAATAAAAGTAAAACAAGGGAAGAAAAATTAGGGAATGAGCGAATATAAAGATAAGAGTCGAAAAATTAGAAAGAAGTGACTGATTTTAGGTATCTAGGAAGTAAGATAAGTCAGGATGGAAGGAGTAGTATAAATATAAAGCAGGGAATAGCGTAGGGTCGAGTCGTCTTCAATAAAAAGAAGTCATTTCTATGCTCGAGAACGGTTAATTTAGAAACGTTCGAAAAAGATTTTTAAAAGTGTATGTTTGGAGCGCGACGGAAAAGAAAAGGTTAGAAGCGTTCGAAATGTGGTGTTACAGGCGAATGATGAGGATAACGTGGATAGAAAAGGTTAGAAATGAAGAGGTATTAGAAAGAATAGGCGAGATAGATTGGTAGGACACCTTCTCAGGCATGTAGGTCTAATCAGAGACATGTTAGAGGCAGAAACAGGAGTTAGGAGGAGTAGAGGTAGACCTACATTAGATTAGAAAGTTAAGAATGTGGGTTGTTCTAGTTCTGGAGAAATGCGAAGATTAGCTCAGATTAGGAGAACAGAGGACTCTATGAAAGCTAATAAGAAATAGTCGACATAGGTTGGTAGGACACCTTCTGAGGCATAAAGGTCTAGTCAAAGACATATTAGATTAGATTAGATTACTGTTCACAAACAGTTAAGCATGTGGGATGTTCTACTTTAAGGAAATGCGAAGATTAGCTCAGATTAGGAGAACAGAGGACTCTATGAAAGCTAATAAGAAATAGTCGACATAGGTTGGTAGGACACCTTCTGAGGCATAAAGGTCTAGTCAAAGACATATTAGATTAGATTAGATTACTGTTCACAAACAGTTAAGCATGTGGGATGTTCTACTTTAAGGAAATGCGAAGATTAGCTCAGGATAGGAAGAAGTTGAGGTGCGTGTCCAACCAGTCTTAGGACTGACGACCTTATGATGATGAGTTAAAATTATGATTCAGGCTGAAAGGTCGTTGTCTAAATAAACTGTTAGGTCCAGACGTTTCGTCAGTAATTGCATTGATAACGTGGGCGCTAAATATTCCAACCACAGTTCCCAACGAAACGTCTGGACCTAACAGTTTATTTAGACAACGACCTTTCAGCCCGAATCATAATTCTACGGTACCATTGAATCCGGCAGCGAAAGCCTATGTTCTTAGTCGATGAGTAAAGCAATATTCAACTCGGAATTTCAAGTTGTAGATCGAAATTTCGAGTTACAAGTCGAAATTAAAAAAAAAGGATTATGTTTGGCCCTTCTACACCTTCGTACTTTAGTAACAATGCAAAGGTTGTATAATTTAAATTTAAGGATTGCTTTAGTTCTGTTTATATACAATAATTTATTATATGTAAATGCACAGAATTGCGTTTTTTTTTGCGTAGCAAGATGTTGCGGTGAGAAAAACGATAATTGGTAGCGAATGCCGATATTCTGGTACTAATTTGTCTTCTCCTGAATCTGCTTACTCCACCGGTTATTCTACAGATGGAACTTCACCTGGTGCTCCCCCAGAGTATTACGTAAACATTAGAACAGGTAAATAAACAACTGCTTTCAAATGTAGAAATATTTGGAATAGTTCAACTGTGTTACCATAAAATAAAATCCGTGTGCAATAGTTTGACTAATAGTTTACTTAATTTTCAATAGGTTGCTTTGATACTAAAAAAGTTGTTATGTTTAAACTATATAGTTTATATTTTTCTACAGGTGCTGTTGATAACAACGACAGTTTCTTATCTATTGAAACAACTAAGTTTATTTTTGTAATTTATCAACGTATCCTATCTTTATTAAACGGCTTCATAATGGGGTTTGAAAGCGTTAATTACTGTATTACTTTTTCTTTTTATAATAACAAATACAAAGATTACAAAGTATACTTTCTATTTTACACTAACTTTTACACTCGACTTCGTTCGCGTGAAAATAGAAATTTCATCGAAATCGGTATAGACTTTTCGACAACTAACCCCTAAAACATACAAACAAACTGACAGACAAACAAAAAGTAACGTAGATTACTACCAAAAGATTGTCTTCGTGTATGCATGTAGTCTCATCGAAATCAGTTTAGCCGTTTCGAAGATTATATCGTACAGACAGAAAGAGTTTCAAATTGTTCTAAAATAAATGTCTAATAATTTTATTCGAAAAATAAAAATTGACAAGAAAACCGTAACTGCCCCCAAGTTGACATCATCATGGGTTTATTGGGCGCTTTATTAGATAATTTTTCAGTGGAATTGTTGAAAAACTTAAGTCCATTAAAGGTTTTCTACAGTAAAAACTACTAAAATATAGGGCTACAGACAACTTGTCTCTCCAACTCGTCATTTCACCATGAAGATGCTTCTATCTTTAAGGAAAAAAAAGTAAACATTTTTTTAAATGGATTTTAATAAGATATTACCACCGTCTATCATTTTTACACCTAACTTATAATATAAAATTTAAAAATATACGGTAAATAAAATGATCAAATTTTACAACGTTGGAAAAATCTGGAATCATAGAGAATTCAAAAAGGCACAGAAAATTTTTCATATTCAACAAATTTTACAATTTATTCGATAATTATAATTACCTTAGTCATAATTTTTTGGTTTTAGAATGTGCAAGTATATAATTTTCAATATTATTTCATGTTTATTAATTAAAAAATAACCCCGCCCCTCTTAAGGACAGTACTGTTAATCACATCCTCTTCATGTTTATATAATAACGTCTCATAAAAGTCAGTCCAGTTGTTTCAATTTATTAGCCTTTGGTAATAGACAGATACATCGACAGACAGACAGACAAAATGTAGTCTATGTTATTCCTGACAACATTTTCTTTATGTCTGTAAAGTCCAATCGAAATCGGTTCAGCCGTTTCGAAGATTAGCCCGTACAGACATTATTTTTAAGGGTGGTTTTTGTCTTAGTAGTTTACAAATAACAATTCAAGCTTATAAAAAGGCATTAACTGCGATGCTACAAACATTTCAATTTTATTACGTATATATAGATGTATTTATAGATGTAATAACTAACTCTTGAAGGTACAAAGTACTTCAGAGATGGAGAGTCTTGTCCAGGCTACAGATTAATCAATAATAATGCACAAACTAATGGAAATTGTACCGTTGTAAAGAAAGAACAACTGCCTATGTCCCCGTATCCAAGCAGTAGCAAAATTAATAAGGTAAGTCTTCAAAAATATACATAAAGAGAAACATGAGAGCATCGCAGTAACGCGAATTCTGTATAAACATTTTTATATGTGTTTAGTAAAAATTTCCGGCGCACAATGCTAGTTAGTCTTTTAAGGTTGTTGGCTTCGCAAGCTGCGAAACATTTGGCTGGTAAACCAGATGCTACAATTAGGTCGATATTATTTTGTTTAAAACAAAAAAGAAAACCGTTATAGAACTTAGAAGTTATTCACACACTTTTACAATAAATGGAAGAAGTATTAATTCAAGCATTCTTCCTTAATTTTTAGAAAGATGACGAAGTAAGACAAAAAAAATCGGTCAGTAATTCGATAGAGCCTAATTTAAATTCGTTGAACCAGAATAATTTGCCATTGCACAAGGGTATACCCACTCCCATATCTTCTCCACCTTCTACAAGACTTCCAGAAACTATAGTCACTTCTAGTATAATGTCTCCGAGACAAAGAAATAGGATTCGGACAAATCCATGGCTACCGGGGAACTCCCTAAGTCCAGGAGCAAGTAGTATTACTCTTCATTCTTCGCGACAAGAGCCATTCACGTCACCTCTTTTAAATAACTCGTATGATATTTATCTCTTATACAAAACTATGTTTGTATGTATAAAAGTCATGTTTTTAGCTCTAACCCTCGTATAATGGCGTTTCAAAATCAGAAAAATCCCTCAAAGCATGGAACTTCAGTTCAGGGCGAGTCGTTGTCTTCTTCATCGTGTTCGTCTCTGAGCGACGAGAACAACCCTTGGGACTCGAATCTGCTTCAAATGAATCCTCGGTTAGACATGGAAAGTGACGAAGATGACGAAGAAGATTGTACTCTAAACGAAATGATGGGCAAGTACGACGAAAGTTACGTTTACGAGAAAGAAACGGATATATTAAGCGACAGCGATCCGACTGATTGTGAAACTGACATTGACACGGGACAAGACGGTGGCGATGAAGGTGAAGCGACGGAAAGAGAATTCGACTTCATTGACAATGGTTCTCTAAAAGAATTTGGCCATTTAGATAAGGAAATCAAAAACACTGGACACTGCGTATATTTCAATTATGAAGGTCATATTAGGCAGAGTTCGCGTCGAAGGACCACGCGTAGATCTCAAAAGACTGATAGTAAAAACTCCAATTTCGAAAAACGTAAGAGATCAAATTCTTTTAAGAAACGGCCTAGACATCCCGAACCAATCCACAATAGACCCGATACTGAACAACGGGCCGTTAAAAACGGATCCAGAAGTGCCGGCACGACACCTATTTCGATTAGAAAAACTAAACGGCTAACAACTAAATATCTTCAAGAAGAGCAACAGAAAAAGCGCTCCAATTCCGTTAGCTACACTGAAACCATAAGTCTCATAGATAAACGCGATATAGAAGCGGAGAAAAAATACAAAGAACTTATAGTGGAAGCTGAACACATTTTAATGACTATGAAAACTAACGGTATCTCCCCAAGAAGACTTCCAACCCCAACAAACAAAAGGGTAGAAATGTTACGAAACGGGGAATCTCCTATTAAATCCGATGGTTATTTGAGGAATAGACTGATTGAAGACACGGCAAATCTTCATTTGTCTAACATTCCGTCCAACGTGTTTAATAATACCGTGTGTAGTCCTAAGAAAGTTAATTTTGCCAGTAGCAATTCGCGTCATTTAATGAAGAGGGAGATCGAAATTAGACACTCGCCTTTAGAAATGGCCAATTACCAACAAAATACGATAGTAAAGAAAAAACTTCTTTCACCCAAGTTGTCCAGAAAAAGTCCGAAGTTTCGTAAAAAGAACAGCAAAAGTTTAACTGTCAGACGCGGAAGTTCCTCTTCCGACGACGAGAACGAGAAAAGGCCTAAAAGGAATCATGTTTTATCCAGAAAAGACTTCGTGTGCCCGCAAAGCGAGCCAGTTAAAAGGAAAAACTATTTCACTGACAACAAAATATTTGTCCACTATAATTATAAGGAGGGACAATTAAATCCAGGTACGTTCGTTAAATTATTTTCTGAACCCAAGGTTATGCTTCTTTTGGCGCGTTGAGAGCAAAATTTTCGAATGCAGTTGCGCGCGCACACAGTTACCGAAAAAAATTCAACGCGATTGGTGACCCTGGTCCCGGTGGTCGCCGCTGTGATATTATTTAAATACGTGCCTACTCAAAAACACTGTTTTCAAGTGTCATAACGGAATCAGAAGTAAATAGTAAATTTTTGCGGAAGCAGATGCGGAAGTGTAATAATCTTAGGTCATTCTTTAGTGCAGTAGTCGTGAGCCCTTTTCGAGAATATTTTGTTACAAATTTTGCTTTTAGCGTTAATATCAACGAGCAATTCCAGTTAAATTGTGTTTTGAAAACGGCCAAATTCAATCAACATATCATCATCATCATCATCATAAGGTCATCAGTCCTAAGACTGGTTGGACACGTACCTCCACTCTTTCCTATCCTGAGCTAAATTTCGCATTTCCCTTAAACTAGAACAGCCCACATCCTTAACTATTTGCGAAGAGTAATCTAATCTAGGCCTACGTCTACCCCTCCTAACTCCTGTTTCTGCCTCTAATATGTCTCTGACTAGACCTTCATGCCTGAGAAGGTGTCCTACCAACCTATCTCGCCTATTTTTTATTGTCTTCCATAGAGTCCTCTGTTCTCCTATTCTTTCCAATACCTCTTCATTTCTAACCTTTTCTACCCACGATATCCTCATCATCCGCCTATAACACCACATTTCGAACGCTTCTAACCTTTTCTTTTCCGCCGCTCCCACTGTCCATGTTTCGCACCCGTACAACGCCGTGCTCCAAACATACACCTTTAACAACCTTTTTCGAATTTCTAAATTAACCGTTCGCGAGCATAGAAGTGACTTCTTTTTATTAAAGGCGACACGACCCTGCGCTATCCTCTGCTTTATATCCCTACTACTCCTTCCATCCTCACTTATCTGACTTCCTAGGTATCTAAAATCAGCCACTTCTTCTAATTTTTCGTCTCCTATCTTTATATTCGCTCTTTCCCTACTTTTTCTTCCCTTGCATATCAGTATTTTAGTTTTACTTTTATTTATTTTCATACAGTACTGATCTGTCAGTACCGCTTCCATTTTATTTAAAGCTATCTCTAGGTCCTCCTTGCTAGATGCTAATACTGCTATATCATCTGCAAATCTAAGCATACTATTCTTTTGCCCTTGCACATCTATCCCTACAGTTGTACTGTCTTTAATGATGTTGATGGCGTCTTCGATGTATAGATTGAAAAGTAGCGGTGACAGTGTGCATCCCTGTCTTACTCCCTTCCTAATATTTACTTCTCTACGTTGCATCCCCAGCTGTATAACTGCTTGTTGCTCTTTATACAAACTAAGTATCACTCTTCTATCTTTGTAATTCATCACTACATTTTTAAGTCAACATATAAACATAATAAATTTTTACGACTTGTTTTATCGTTCCAATTTATTGATTTTCAAAAAGATGAGAAATAAGATTTTGTTTGAAGTTCCCGTTATAAAAATGCGGAACCAGATGTATGCGGAACTTCCGCAATTGCGGAAGCACAGGTCTGTTGCAACATTAATAAGTACGTACTGACACCATTTTTTTTTTCAGATTTAAACAAGCCTTACATTTGTAACAGATCAGGGTTAGATGTAAACAATAGCGGCGAAAATCTTCGTCAACAAGTTTTATTAAATACTATAGCAAATTTAAAGAGAAGTTTAGAAGATCAATCGGCATCGCTGAAACAAGTCTGTCGAAGCTCGCAGAATATTAATGTGTGAGCTGTTTGTTGTTACTACGTCTTTTCATTTCTTTTTTTTTTTGGGTAAGTACATTATAAAATATTAATTATTGCTTTTACATAGAAGCAAACTAGTTAGTTTACGTATAAAATGTTTGTCTTCCATTGAGGAGGTTAAACAGCTTCCACGAAAATGATAAAACATATAGAAACTGTAGATTTTAATATAAAAACTGATCATTTGCCTAAAATAAAATCCATCACATCTTTTAGCATGAATTAACAAAAAACATGTAAGAACTCGACTGAATTTAATGTGAACTAGTTTCGCCTGTGGTCGTAATAAATTTTAAAATTAATTTAAATCAAAAGGTACCCTTATTTCTTCTCAACTTTTGACATTTTAAAACAATAAACAAACATAAAATTTAGAAGAATTTTTGTGGGGTTAATTTCAATACATTAAAGTGGATTAACTTTTTACCACTACAAATGACCTCAAATTAATGAGAAAAAATTATTACTGCAGTCACACCCTCGCCGGGAATCGAATCCGAGTCTCTGGTTTTACGCACCATTCCTAAGCTACGAGAGATGACAGCAGCAAGAATTTTTGTCTCATTAATTTTGAGGTTATCTATAGCGGTAAAAGTTAATTCACATTAATGTCTTAAAGTGGTGGACAGCCTATGATGGATTTAAAACCAACCCCATTGCTTTTAATCTGACTAATTTTTCAAAATTTCCAAATAAATTTTTTATTTTACAACACTTATCAGACTTTGGCAAAGTATGAATGTAAGCTTTTATTTGATTTACTATTACTCCCCTTAACAGCATAGATATGTACAGTGCAATCGACAAGGCTATGTTTCCATCGAAAATAAACGTTTCCATTACTGGGTATTTTTTTTTTGGTAATATAGTAAAAAAATGCGCAGATTTTCAATTTAGGTAACTACAGTTTGCAAAAGCGATGCGTAATTTTTTAATTTAACAGTTTACAAGAGATAGAACTTTTTTTAAATTTTACCAAACATGCAGTGCAAGATCAGTTTGTGACATTTTTTTTGTAAAAACATTAAACTATTGAAACCAAGCCAGAATACTCAAATTCTAAATCAGTAACGTGTTAATAGAACGCAAATACAACCTTATTATAGTTAGAATTTTAAACACCAAACGTCGTGACCAAAGTGGTCAGTTCCCAGTTGACGTACTACGCATGTGCAGTACGGGTAGCCAATAGAATTTAGGCACCTGCTACCTCACCTCTTTCTCCTTGATGATCTCTTATCTGCCACTTTTTATTCCATCTCCATATTCCCAAGCCTGTGTCCCCTTATTATTTTTTTTTGTAAGTGTTTACTGTAGTTTCAGGTAAACAACATACGCATATTACTCCCCCTCCCCCCTTATAAGCTCAAAAAATGTGTGAATCAATATCGAGTGTTTCGTTACACTTTTATTTATTTATTTTTCAATTTCGGGAACTTCATTGCTATCAAGTCGTTTCTGAAAATTGTAATATTATTTTTTACTACATTACATGTTTATGGTTGTTACATGAATACACAAAAGGTGTTAAAAACCACAATAAATTATTCATTATTAACGATTGTTATAACTTATAACAATACGAATACGATACCTATTTAAAATAAAATTCTGGAAATATCAGAAAAAAATAGTTAATATCTAATTACGACTGTTTTATGAAATCAGTTGGCTTATAAATACTTAATTATACGTCTTAGTAAATAAATTTTACTTTTTTTTTTGATTTTATTATATTCTTAGGGTTTCCAGTATAATATGCCAATAAAGACCAAAACAATTTCAGAAAATTAGGTAAATAAATAAAATTATGGTATTTTTTAAGGGAAAAGTGCAAATGCAAATGGTAGTGTTAGTAATTTAGGTTAGCTTTAGTAACCTGCGACGGAAGGGGAGTATAGGGGGTTGGAAAAGATTCACCCGATAGGGAGAGGTGCGGAAACTAAATAAAAAAAATAATAAATTATTGGTTATTGCATAAAATTTTGCTATTTTTAATAGTTGATTACTATCCTGCAGCATGATAAGGGGCATGGAAGGAGAGACGGAATAGGAGAGGGATTAAAAACTCCTTCCTGATTTTTGTTGACCTCTTTTGTTTCATCTACTGTAGAACGGAGAACAAAAGCTTTTCATAACGGCTAACTTCAACAACAAATTTTCTTTGTTGCAACTCATCTTTAAATAGGGTTGCTGTAAGAATTTCTGATTTTTATTTATTATTCCGTCGAATCTGGGTACTCGATAAGATTAATATCGTCTTTTTGTTCTACGAATTCGTTCGTCTGTACTAGGCAACAAACGTAATTCAACTTTCTTTGGAATTGGAGCAATTAAAACCTGATTTCAATACTGTTATTTTTATTTCAAATGTAGAATCAATATTTAAAAACAAATACAATCTTTCCATTCATAGGCAATCCTAGTTAAACGTTAAACTGTTGTTAAAACTTTAGTTATAGCTAAATAAAATTAAACTTAAAAAATTCTATAGATAACAGAACACAAAACGGTAGTCACAAAAGATATAAAACTCCCCATACCCCGTGCAATGTACTTGTGTATTAGGTATTTATCAAGTTGCCCAATAACCACATGGCAATATTCATAATGTTGAGGCAATGTAATAAATAAGGAAGTTCCAATTATAGTTATTTATTTCGCTCCAAGTAGCTTGTCATTATTCATAATGCGCGGGCATTATGAAAAATTTTCCTATTAATATTACTTGGTTCGTTACACTATCAACGTATTGATTCACTATGCGTAGAAACTTTTAAGGAATGACGACCCTTATTTAGCTGGCTATTTTGAATCAAATTTATCAGTGCGTCAATAAGGTCAAAAATTATTTTTTTTATTTTTCGAAATAGAATAAGTTTCCGCATCTTCCCTGATGTGAAGGAAGGTTTTCTTATTTTTCCTCTCCCCCTTGCCCCCTTTCGTTCCCCTCTGTTGTGCCGCAGGTTACTAAACAGTCCCATTAATTTAGTTGTTAATAATTAATACTTTTATGTACGATTAAATAGATTATTACGATATTGGTAAAGGTCTGGATGATGGCCCCCACCCCCTTTGGGGTGGGTAAGATCGAAAGAGGAGGGTCTCTCCCACGACATTAAAAGTTCGCGGTGGTCTCACCCTCATAAAAAGTTATGGGGGTTCAAAGTTAATAAATATGCCAATTTTTATACATTTCTAGGCATGTAAATATTTATATTATCACTCCCTGTAAA